CTTCTCAAGAACAGTAAAGCCATGAAGAGTCATATTTATGTGGAAGCATCCCCAGGTAGTGTAGATTCAAATTTGTTCAAATCATGACCCCCGGGGGTAGGGCGGGGCCACAATGGAGGATCAAAGTTTTACATAGAAATATATAGGAAAAATCTTTAAAAATCTTCTTCTCAAGAACAGTAAAGCCATGAAGAGTCATATTTATATGGAAGCATCCTCAGGAAGTGTAGAATCAAGTTTGTTCAAATCATGACCCCCAGGGGTAGGGCGGGGCCACAATGGAGGATCAAAGTTTTACATAGAAATATATAGGAAAAATCTTTAAAAATCTTCTTCTCAAGAGCAGTAAAGCCATGAAGAGCCATATTTATATGGATGCATCCTCAGGAAGTGTAGATTCAAATTTGTTCAAATCATGACCCCCGGGGGTAGGGCGGGGCCACAATGGAGGATCAAAATTTTGCATAGAAATATATAGGAAAAATCTTTAAAAATCTTCTTCTAAAGAACAGTAAAGCCATGAAGAGTCATATTTATACGGAGGCATCCTCAGGAAGTGTAGATTCAAGTTTGTTCAAATCATGACCCCCGGGGGTAGGGCGGGGCCACAATGGAGGATCCAAATTTTACATAGAAATATATAGGAAAAATCTTTAAAAATCTTCTTCTCAAGAACAGTAAAGCCATGAAGAGTCATATTTATACGGAAGCATCCTCAGGAAGTGTAGAATCAAGTTTGTTCAAATCATGACCCCCGGGGGTAGGGCGGGGCCACAATGGAGGATCCAAATTTTACATAGAAATATATAGGAAAAATCTTCTTCTCAAGAACAGTAAAGTCATGAAGAGTCATATTTATATGGAAGCATCCTCAGGAAGTGTAGATTCAATTTTGTTCAAATCATGGCTCCCGGGGGTAGGGCGGGGCCACAATGGAGGATCCAAATTTTACTTAGAAATATATAGGAAAAATCTTTAAAAATCTTCTTTTCAAGAACAGTAAAGTCATGAAGAGTCATATTTATTTGGAAGCATCCTCAGGAAGTGTAGATTCAATTTTGTTCAAATCATGGCTCCCGGGGGTAGGGCGGGGCCACAATAGAGGATCAAAGTTTTACATAGAAATATATAGGAAAAATCTTCTTCTCAAGAACAGCAAAGCCATGATGAGTAAAATTTATATGGAAGCATCGTCAGGTAGTGTAGATTCAATTTTGTTCAAATGATGACCCCCGGGGGTAGGGTGGGGCCCAATGGGGGATCGAAAGTTTTACATAAGAACATATAGAAAAAAAATTTCTTCTCAAGAACAGAAAAGCTATGTTAGTCTTATTGATATGGAAGCATCCTCGGGTAATGTAGATTCAAGTTTGTTCAAATGATGACCTCTGAGATAGGGAGGAGCTACAATGGGGGATCAAATTTTTACAAAGGAATAAATGGGAAAATTCTTTTAAAATCTTCTCAAGTACAACAAATTCATTTGTTATATTGACATGAAAGCATCATCAGGTAGTTTAAAATTCAAGCCCCCCCCCCCCCCCCCCCCCCCCTGTTCATTACTGAACTGATTTGTGCCTTAGTCTAGCCAGTGTGCTCAGGTGAGCGATGTGGCCCATGGGCCTCTTGTTAATTATTGAATAATCTGCTTGAAATTTCAAAATTAATTTTTAACACTGCAATGAGAAAAAAGCTAAGTCCAAATTAGTACATAAAAAATACATCCTTATTTTACCGATTTTGTCAAAAAAGTTTAAGTCCCAGAAAAGTACATTTTTAGTACAGTGAAAAAAGACTAAGTCCAAATTAGGTACATAAAAAGTACATCCTTATTCTACTGATTTTGCCAAAAAAGTTTAAGTCCCAGAAAAGTACGTTTTTAGTACAGTGAAAAAAGACTAAGTCCAAATTAGGTACAAAAAAAGTACTGTGGAAAAAACTAAGTCCTAAAAAGTACAAAAAAAGTACTGTGGAAAAAAACTAAGTCCAAATAAAGTACAAAAAAAGGTCATCAGCTTTAAGAGGCTATCTGGCCCAGTACAAAAAAAGTATACTTTTTCTGACCTTTTTCTAAAAAGCACAAATTTATATAGTATAAAAGTAGCATTAAAGTATACTTTTTTGTACTTTATTTTGGTATGGGACTTTTGAAAAAACGTTAATCTTTTCCATATCTATTCAATGGTTGCTGCTAGGGCTTTCATATTTTACAGGTATATTCCTCGATACAAGACCTTACTTGGCATACCAACATATTTGATTTGCATTTGAGAAAGTTAAACTTTTGCTATAAGTTGCCATACGGGCATCAGTGTTTCACAAACACATCTTGTTTGACTTAGATTTAAAGAATTGACTTGAATGCTCAAAAAAGGGAATTTTGGGGAATTTTATTGCTTCATATTTTTTTCAAATTAAAACTCTTCAAACCAGAATTGAAAAAATAATGTAAAATAACAATCAAAAAGCCAATTTTTTGTCACATATACAAGAGAAGATACTCAATCAAGGTCTAGATTTAATCAGTTATACCCCTTTTACCATTTTCAAGCATTAAAAAAACTGTAATTTCTTGTGATTATGTACTTTAGAAAGTCTTTTTAGGTGTATTGATATTTTCTTTTTTCAAAAGAAATTTTACTAATAAAAATTCTGAAACTTTTTAGTCCAATTGTCTATTAATCTATTGCCACTTCAGGATTTTAAACTAGAATGCATGTGCAATATGATGATATAAGTGAAAAAAATGTTATAAGTAGTTGAATTTTTAAAAAAAAAAATCAGTTTGGTGGTATTTTTTTTTAATTCACCCCTGCTCCATCTTTTTTTTGGTGTTGGAAAAATGTTTGAAATAAATTTATCATTATTTCTGTCAGTTATTTCAATGACATTTTTCTGTATAAGCTTTTGAATTTCATTTTCCATAGCTTCCATTTCCTCATTTGAAAATTTTAATTGTGGTTTGACAAAAGATTATTCAGGCACTGTGTCAAATTCTATCTTATAACCACACACAGCATTAAGGATCCAATTGTCAGTAGATATTTTCTGCCAGTTATGAAAGAACTTTTGGATTTTCCCCATTCAAAATTATCAGGGGTATTAATTAGTTCACCAACACCTTCATTTATTGTATTGAAAACTTCTTTACTTACATTTTTCTGGTTGTCATTCATTGAGGGGATTTTTTCTCTTGTCTCCCCTTCCCTTTCCATAAAAAAGGCTGAGTGTTTGAGTTGACTTTTGGGATACGATTTGGAAATGCTTGTTTGTTGAATACAGTATTTCTGCTGCCTTTGTATTGATTACAGTAGGGATGATCATGAGATGTTTTTTGTCCATAAGACGAAACATCTTTGGTTTGTCTTTGAGTTTAGTGCTCAATTTTGTGAACATCTCCATTTCCTTCATTTTGGTCTTCAGACTGTCCCCCAACATTATTGGGTATGCACATATACTTGACTCTCATTAATGCTGCTTGTGATTTATATAACATTTTTAAATTTTAAAATGTATATCAGTTATTGTTTTACACTTCGAAAATTCTTTTTTGTCTTAATTTTCTTTCAGAATTTTACAATTGATGTGTTTTTTGGCAACACTACATTTTTTCTGTTGCACTCCTGACATGGTATAACATTTTTTTAAACATCAGTCATGACCACAACTTGAATAAACAAAAGTTACTACAGTCCACATTTAAAGCTCAATACTTTGAATATTATCAGGAAAGTCTTTATTTTCATCATAAAGCATTATTATTTATTTAAAAGATCTCCAAAAAATATTGAAATTTCAAAATGTCACAAAAAGGTGTTGCACTCCTGACAATTTTAGCATCATTTATGGGCATAACTTTTTTGTTAATTGAGAAGACACCATCTAAAGACATATGCTGAGACATAGAAATCTATTTTCATTGCCTGTATTTTTAGTGTGGGTTGATAAATATGCATTTGGTCTTTTTTTTTTAATTCACCCGTAGTTTACTTGATCATGACATCAGGAGGTAGGAATAAGGCCACAATAGGCAACAAATGTTTCACATAGGAATGTATTGGAAAAAAATCAACTGATGAAGAAGAGCAGGGCTATAGTGATTAAGGCCCTGGGATCATCTTACATGTAAGCTTAAGTCAATTAAGGTCAAGATCTAGTAAATGAAAGGAGCCTACAGATTTCTCAAATTTGAGAAATAAGTTCCTTTAAAGATGCTTTTTAAGTATAGCTTGGTCAAATAAGGTGTATCGGGGCATATTTTGTAGGTAAACAGGATGAAAAATCATATTTTACACTGTCTTTTTTGATGAAAAATTAATAAAATCAGTCATGAATATGGGAGTTTTTTCTTTATTGGAGAAAGGAAATGTATCCAGATTGCCTACAGTCTCTCAGAAAACGGTAATTTGTTTCTTCTTATCCTCTTCTTTAAATTAATATCAAATTGAATATAGGTTTCCGGATTAATTTTCACGATTTCAAATTGAATTCTATGAAAAAACTTTATTTTCTACATTATTCTATTAGAGCCGTAAAGTACGGGAAAAAGAAAGTTTAAATTGATTATGACGTCATAATGGATCTAGCACCAAAAAGACAGTCTAAAGTCATTTACTAGATCTTGACCTTAAGGATGGATTCTTGTCAGCATTTTACGTCGTCAATGGGTCTCCATAAATTATGCAAGTCGTAAAATGCAAAATTCATATTTAATTATACTGAAGGAAAAACTATTAGTTAATTTGTCAGTTTAAGTAATGTTGAATCTATTTCTTTTGAAATTAATAAATTTTTCATAATATTTTCTTTGATTTGCGACAATCGCCATAATATTCGCAGTTCGGTAGCAAATGTCAACATGTCCAGATCATTTTCCGTAGAAAACCCCGAGAGGTTTGTTTTGTAAAATCTACAAACTGTGAACATTATCGAAGCATTGCAGAAGCCCAGGGACAGTTATGACAAATTAAATTATATTTATTTATGCCCGGGAAATTCCGATCAGCCAAAAGGGAAGCTTGAACTTGAAGGTCACAAACATGTGCAAGATTGCAGATCCACGTTGCCTCGTCTGAAGTCATGTCCTGTGCAGTGAGCATGTAAGTTAGTTATATATGTCTGAAGATTTTTATAATTTTGAAATTGAATTCAATTACATGCTGGTTTGTATTGATTTATGGGAATTCGCACGGAAATTATAGTCCTGTTATCAATATTTCGTCTGCTTATTCCCGCGACTTGTCAACATTTGAAGAGGATATATTTCGTGTGTTCGTCAGGTTTATGAATAATAATTCACAAAAATAGCATTTTTTGTATATGATTACAACAAATTTTATATTTTTAACTAGCCTACTTTGTTCAAGACACAACAATCATCAAGTTATTAGAAAAGTAAGGTGTCCCGCTTGGGTACAAATCAAACGGAAAATTAACTTGATATTGTATGTGGAAATATCAATAATATTGAAACACACAATTGTCTAATAAGTAGAGCAAAATGAAACATTATTGTTAAAAAACTATTTATATTATTGTTTTTTTTTACTTTTCTGTACTTTTAGGATTAAAAAATGTCTATTTATTTATATCCAATACATTATAATATAAGACATTATGCATATGGTAGAATCTATTAAAATATCTTCATTCATTTAAATCAATAAATGAAATACAGATGAGATAAGTTGTTTAATCTTATAATCAGTTTCCATTAATTTAAAAAAATAGTCTAAGGGATGTTCATGTTTAATTCTTAGGAGAAAATCAACCCTACTTTACCCTAGACTAGAAAAAAGACTGGAGGTCAGAATGCAGGATGATTGAGCAAGGAGTGCTGGCAGATGGACTATTGAGGTACATGTATAAGAAATATGGACACAACTTTATCTAACTATCATGTAATGCAGCATCTGTGTTGCTATGTAAAATAAATTACTTTTTTTTTAAATTATAGGTCAACAAAAAATTTGGACTTTCATCAGGTGGACACATGTTCAGCAAGAAATTCTCACATCAAATGAATGATGGCTGTCTGTGGAAAAGAGATTTTCTCAGAATATATCACAGATCAGAAGCAGGAATTACATATTTCAGGGTTTGAAATTCACTATATACAACTCGCAAAACGCAAGTTAGAATTCCTAAATTGCGAGTTAAAAATTAGGTAACTCGCAAAAACTTGCGAGTTGATTTTTTTTGCATTGAAACTGTAGCAAAATTATATAATATGACAGAACACAATGCTTTTGATTTAAATCAGTAATTTAAATAAAAGTCACACTGTAGTTGTTAGCTCACCTGAGCTGAAAGCTCAAGTGAGCTTTTCTGATCACCTGTTGTCCGTCGTCCGTCCGTCCGTCTGTCCGTCCGTCCGTCCGTCCGTCTGTAAACTTTTCACATTTTCAACTTCTTCTCAAGAACCACTGGGCCAATTTTAACCAAACTTGGTACAAAGCATCCTTGGGTGAAGGGGAGTTTAAATTGTTAAAATAAAGGGCCAAGCCCCCTTCCAAGGGGAGATAATCAAGAAAAGACAAAAATAGGGTGGGGTCATTAAAAAATCTTCTTCTCAAGAACCACTGGGCCAGAAAAGCTGAAACTTATGTGAAAGCATCCTGGGGTAGTGTAGATTCTAAATTGTTAAAATCATGACCCCCGGGGGTAGGGCGGGGCCACAATAGGGAATCCAAGTTTTACATTGAAATATGTAGAAAAAATCTTTAAAAATCTTCTTCTCAAGAACCACTGGGCCAGAAAAGCTGAAACTTATGTGGAAGCATCCTGGGGTAGTGTAGATTCTAAATTGTTAAAATCATGACCCCCGGGGGTGGGGCGGGGCCACAATAGGGAATCCAAGTTTTACATTGAAAAATGTAGAAAAAAATCTTTAAAAATCTTCTTCTCAAGAACCACTGGGCCAGAAAAGCTGAAACTTATGTGGAAGCATCCTGGGGTAGTGTAGATTCTAAATTGTTAAAATCATGACCCCCGGGGGTAGGGCGGGGCCACAATAGGGAATCCAAGGTTTACATTGAAATATGTAGAAAAAATCTTTAAAAATTTTCTTCTCAAGAACCACTGGGCCAGAAAAGCTGAAACTTATGTGGAAGCATCCTGGGGTAGTGTAGATTCTAAATTGTTCAAATCATGACCCCCGGGGGTAGGGCGGGGCCACAATAGGGAATCCAAGTTTTACATTGAAATATGTAGAAAAAATCTTTAAAAATCTTGTTCTCAAGAACCACTGGGCCAGAAAAGCTGAAACTTATGTGGAATCATCCTGGGGTAGTGTAGATTCTAAATTGTAAAAATCATGACCCCCGGGGGTAGGGCGGGGCCACAATAGGGAATCCAAGTTTTACATTGAAATATGTAGAAAATATCTTTAAAAATCTTCTTCTCAAGAACCACTGGGCCAGAAAAGCTGAAACTTATGTGGAAGCATCCTGGGGTAGTGTAGATTCTAAATTGTTCAAATCATGACCCCTGGGGTAGGGCGGGGCCACAATAGGGAATCCAAGTTTTACATTGAAATATGTAGAAAAAATCTTTAAAAATCTTCTTCTCAAGAACCACTGGGCCAGAAAAGCTGAAACTTATGTGGAATCATCCTGGGGTAGTGTAGATTCTAAATTGTAAAAACCATGACCCCCAGGGGTAGGGTGGGGCCACAATAGGGAATCCAAGTTTTACATTGAAATATGTAGAAAATATCTTTAAAAATCTTGTTCTCAAGAACCACTGGGTCAGAAAAGCTGAAACTTATGTGGAAGCATCCTGGGGTAGTGTAGATTCTAAATTGTTCAAATCATGACCCCTGGGGTAGGGCGGGGCCACAATAGGTATTATAAGGGGGAAATCGGGTGAAAAACAGCAAGGCCAAAGTTACTCAGGTGAGCGTTGTGGCCCATGGGCCTCTTGTATTTTGTGTATTGTACAGTAGCTACTTTTTCCTTAAGTTACATATTTAATTTATATAAATTTAACTTTATATGAAAATTGCGAGTAGTCTTATAAAATTGCGAGTTCACTTTCTTGGTACTCACAATTATTTGCGAGTTGTAATTTTAGGGAGTTTCTAACCCTGATATTTATTTGATCAAAGAAATATTTTTGTAGAAATGTGGAAGTCAATTAATGCATGTTATCATAGTTACTGCTGCTTGTTGCATGATTCCATTCTTGATTTATTTCAGAAACTTTCAGTCAAAAATAGTTTTATTTATTATTATATAATGTTTAATTATTTGATTCCCAAGTACCCGGTACAGTGCACACTTTGTAGAATGTGATTACTTTACAAAATCTTTTATTCAGATTTGAAATCTTACTCCCAGAGTGAATTTTTCAAGCATTATCTTTCATTAGATTACACAGTGAAGATTTACATGTACTGGCATTACAACAACTTGTAAATGATATATACCTAGCTCTATGTATTCAGTTGCTTTACAATACAGTTAAAATCTTAAAATACAGTTCTGGAATACATAAAAATGTGCCTGCTTTAGATCATTTAGTTGAAGGGTGATTTTAAGCAAGAGCATGCCGAACAAAATTGCTGGTAGTGGCCTGGTTAAAATTTAGATTTTTACAAATGAACTACATACTTGTACTTGCAGTAGAAACCCCCAAGAGGTAATTTTTAATTCATTTCAATATAAGTTATTGACACTGATCAATAAATGTTTGTGCTACAAATTCTTAAAAAGAAATTTCATCCTTGAATAAGTATTTTGCATCTAAATGTGAAATTAAGTTTGATAGCTGCATGCATATTATTGTTACAAAGTTCAAGGATGTCATTTTCAGGCATAGATGTCAAAGGGCATTTGATTGCCATAGATGGCTTTTTCATTTTCTTAAAACTCCAGCAAATTTTACGCAATATGTGATCACAATGAAGAGTTATATTTATTGGTGCTGAACAAACTATATACTTATAAATGTGTGTAGGTATTTATTGTCCCTCGCTTTTGCAAAAGAGAGGGGACATTAAATCTCATTCATCTGTCGGGCTGTCTGTCACAAAAACTTTAACCTTGGCCATAACTTTTGAGTGAGAAGAGATTGGGCTTTTGTATTTCATATGTACATTACCTGTAACAAGACCTTTCCAAATATACTGTGAATTTTGACCCCGTGGCCTTGGCCTTGAAGTTTGACCTACTTTTCAAAAAAATTAACATTACCTTAAATTGGTCATAACTTTTGAATGAGAAAAGATAGGACTTTCATATTATGCCTGTTTATTACCTGTGACAAGACCTTTCGAAATTATACTATGACTTTTGACCCCATGACCATTACCTTGAAGTTTGACCTACTTTTCAAAATTTTTATCTTTGCTTATAACTTTTGATTTAGAATAGTTAGGGCTTTCATATTTAATATGTGCATTAGTAGTGACAAAGTATTTCCAAGCATGCTATAATTTTTGACCCCTTTACCTTGACCTTCATGTTTGACCTAAATTTCAAAAATTTTATGTTTGGTGATTACTTTTTAATGACATATGATAGGGTGTTCATATTTGACAAGTGCATTACCTGTGTCAAAATGTTTCCGAATATGCTATGATATTTGACCCCGTGACCTTGACCTTCCAGTTTGACCTAATTTTCAAACATTTCATCAGTTTGCTAACTTTTGAAGGAGCAAAGATAGGGCATTCATATTTGACAAGTGCATTACCTGTGACAAGCATTTCCAAATGTACTATGATTTTTAATCCCATGACCTTGACCTTGAAGTTTGACCTAATTTTTAAAAAGTTTATCATTGCTAATAACATTTGATTGAGAGAAGAGATGGTATTTACATTTGACATGTGCATTACCTGTTTCAAGACCTTTTTGATTGTATACTCTGGTTTCTGATATTTTTTTTTACATGTGCATCACTTGTGAGAAGATCTTTTGGATTTTATTATGATATTTGACCTCATGACCTTGATCTTGAAGTTTGATGTAGTTTTGAGAAGCTATAGTCTTTGCCATAACTGTTATTAATTCAATAATTTATGTTTTTTTGTATGATGCACTGATAAGACAGGACAAACAAATAAGACAGTTAAAATATGCCATAAATAATGGCATTGGCATCCCATCCACTAAGACATCGAAAGCGGGGGACCACAATTCTTTGAATTTGCTTGTTGTTTTCAAAACTCAGTTTACAAATGTAAAATATCCAATAATAACATAATACCAGGGACCTATATGTATATAACTACATATACATGTACATGTATAGGCATATATATTAGTCCCTCTGATATTCATATATTAAGCTTTGAATTGCATGTTCACTATACATGTATATTGATTTCATGTTTATGTCATAAATAATATATTGAAATCTTTTCTAGTCTATGAAAATTTTATGTATGATTTTTCTCATAACTTTTTGGAAGGTTTATTATTTATTCCTGGTTATATTAAAGGTTAAGTTGCTTTGAATTAGTCCTGTGCATGTGAAGAATGTATGTGATAATTTTTCTGTAATTGCCACTAGAAAATTGATGTATTTTATAAAATTGTCAAACATGACATTCATAAGAATAAAATGACGGAGGAAATTCGAAATGAATATTTTGAATATCATTAGTGTAAAATACCATAAAAATAGAATGTATAACTGGGAGAAATGAATGTATTTATGTCACAATTACACCAAATTGATATGTTTTTGGGGATTAAAAATCTTTTTTATAGACATTTAAAACACTCTGTAAAATGAAGATTTCAGAAAGTATAAAGCAAATTCGGGCTAAATTTTTTTCGATAATTTGCCTGATTACTATATCTTTTTTACCTTGTAACTTAATCTTGAACCTTTGAATATTCATCAGACAAAAATCTAAATATTTGACATTATATGGTCAATTGTAAAAATTGAGATGAAATTTCATGTGAATTCATAAAAACTGAGAATTTTGAAAAAATATCGAGGAAATTCGGATTAAATATATTTATTGAATATAAAGGATTTCATGTTATCTTTTCACCAGTTCATTTCATATGAATTAGTCATCAAAAATAAGTAACAACTTTAATTTTATTGTGAAAGATATTTTTTCAGTCAGCAAAATTTATTCATATGCATAAATTTCAAAACTTCTCTGTGTAAAAGTACTGTTTTTAGGACTGACTTTCAAATGACCTTGACTGAAAATCAAGGCCGATGACACCAAAGTTTTTGGATGTTAAAAGAGTGTAAACAGTCTGAATATTGAGTATTCAGAAAATCAAGATTCTGCCATTATAAGAAATATGAGAAGAATCCATCCTTAACACTGCATCATTTAACTGTTTTGAAATTGGCAAATTTAGAGTAATCAATTCACAAGTAATAAACATTTTACCAATGATTGAAAGTCCAAGTCCATTTCATGATCTTTGGGCCAGATGATTGTTCTGGCTAATGGGCCTCTTTTCTTCATTTCTTCTGAATTTCTATCAGACTAACTTCATAAATGTAATTTTGATTACAAAGTCTTCCCAAACTGTAAAATTTTAGCCACTTTGAGTTCAGAGTTTTTGTTATGGCTTTGGCCGAAATGTTCATAGCCTGTGAAAATCAGGATGCTCAGGTGAAAGTTGAGGTATATGGACCTCTTATTATCCCACTCTTGTTTTCTATCCCTTACGTGCAATCATAAATCATGGAGAATTTTATATTTACAAACAGAAAATTGACTCCTAAGACTGATGAAAGAGGAAGACGAAGAAACACTGTAGTAGGAATTTTCAGAAAGAAAACTGGAGTGGACAGTGATGAAGACAGGAGTGATGACTTAGAAAGTTCAGTTCATACATCTGACATCTCATCTGAGGAGGAGGAAGAACAGGAGGAGGAGGAAAAAGAAGACAAACAATTCAGTGAAGAAGACATTGAAGAGAGCAAAGATAAAAACATCATAAAGCACAGTGTTGAAAATGGATATGATTTGAAAATGTCAGAGGAAATGAAGATGACAAATGTTGATTTTTCCATTACAAAGACCAACAAAAAATTAACAGAACACAAGCCCGTTGTAAACGTTCATGTCAACAGGAAACCAGAAATACAGGCAAGCTATTTATATGTGTACATGTGCTATCAGAGATTTATCAATGCTATTTTAACTACCGTAAAATTTGGGGTATATGTCGATGGGGTATATAGGTCAAAAGGCTCATTTTTAGCTCTACTGGTCAGAGACCAGAAGAGCTTATGCGATATTAAGGTGTCCATTGTCTCTCCATCTGTCTGTCTGTCTGTCTGTCTGTAAACAATTTTTCAAAATGCTACTCCTCCTACAGTTTTGATCTGATTTCAGTATAATTTGGCACACAGGTAGATGCATAATTTAGTGCATTGGTTTATGATTTCAATGAATAGTTTTGCCATTGTTACTAAAAATAGAAAATTCTGTAAAATTTCTTTAAAATGCTACCATTGCTACAGATTTGGTCAGATTTCAATATAACTTGGCACACAAGTAAACTACACAAAGATACATAATTTGATGAATTGGTTTTTGATTTTGATGAATTGTTTTGTCATGGTTACTAAAAATAGAAATTTCTGTGAAATTCCTTTAGAACGCTACTCCTGCTACAGTTTTGGTCTGATTTCAATATAATTTGGCACACAATTAGATTATACTAAGATACATAATTTAGTGCATCGGTTTTTGATTATGATGAACATTGTTTCCATGGTTACTAAAAATAGAAGTTTCTTTGAAGTTCCTTTAAAAGGCTACTCCTGCTTCAGATTTAGTCTGATTTTAATATAACTTGGCAGACAAGTAGACAACACTAAGATACATAATTTATTGCATCGGTTTTTGATCTCAGTGAACAGTGTTGCCATGGTAATTAAAAATAGAAATTACTTTGAAATTACTTTAAAATGCTTCTCCTCCTACAGATTTGGTCTGATTTCAATATAATTTACCATACAAGTAGACTACAATAAGATACATAATTTAGTGCATTGGTTTTTGATTTCAATGAATGCTGTTGCCATGGTTACATAAAATAGAAATTTCTTAGAAATTCTTTGAAAATACAATTCCTCCTACAGTTTAAGTCTGATTTTAATATAACTTGGCACACAAGTAGACTACACTAAGATACATAATTTGATGAATTGGTTTTTTGATTTTGATGAATTGTTTTGCCATGTTTACTAAAAATAGAAATTACTGTAAAATTCCTTTAAAACATTAGTCCTGCAACAGTTTTGGTTTGATTTCAATCTAATTTGGCACACAATAAGACTACACTAAGATACATAATTTAGTGCATCGGTTTTTGATTTGGATGAACGGTGTTGCCATGGTCACTAAAAATAGAAATTTCTGTGATGTTCCTTTAAAATGTAACTCCTACTTCAGTTTTGGTCTGCAGATTTCAAAATAACTTGGCACAAAAGTAGACAACACTAAGATACGTAATTTAATTCATCGGTTTTTGATCTCAGTGAACGGTGTTGCCATGGTGACTAAAAATATAAATTACTGTAAAATCCCTTTAAAACATTACTCCTGCTACAAATTGGTTTGATTTCAATCTAATTTGGCACACAATTAGACTACACTACGATACATAATAATATTTATTTCATACCCAACTGTTTGTCATTCAGTTTTACTGTTGAATTTACGCAATCTCATGACGGTGTGATCCGACATTCCGGATCACCACATTGTGGTTTTCTGAATCCATATCACCCTTCTCTGAAACTTGTGACGTAGTACACAGATAAATGACGTTTTTATTCTCGCACATCAAAAAGTTCCTCGATAAAATGCTTTGTTTACTTGTTAAAAGTTTTGTAATTGATTCAAAAAGTTTCCTTTTATTATATTTTGCAAGTTGTAAAGGGGTACATAATAAAATTATCATTATAACAGTAACTTGATCCGAAGAGCCTAATCACGTCTCTTGGACAGGCGCGGATCATCAGATCAAACTCAATGCTTCACGTCTCGTTTGATATAAGGTTCAGCGCCTGTCAACTTGATGTGATACGGCTCTTCGGATCAAGTTACTGTTATAATAATCTTTATATGTCGGTTTTTGATTTCAGTGAATGCCATGATTACTAAAAATAGAAATTTCTGTGAAATACTTTCAAAACACTACTCCTCCTACAGTTTTCATTTGATTTCAATATAACTTGGCACACAAGTAGACTACATTAACCCTTTCTCTACTGGCGCATTTTACGTGATTTTTGAGACCTTTTGACATAGCATTATCAAATTATTTCTAACCTTTATAACCAAGGAGAAAGCTAAGCATAATGCATACCATTTTGTAGGGAATTTCTTAGAGAATATATTTTATGACTATTCAGATTCCCAACTACTGACCTTATTAGTAGAAATGGAGGTCAAAGGTCAATTAAGTGCAAAATTTTTAAAATTTTTTCCGATACTTTTTAATCGTCAAGCTAAACATTTACAATGATGTATGATGAAATAGGAAATTTGGAATGTACTTAGAAAAGAGGATTATACTGTACTACATTAATCACATAAACTTTTTTTCAATTCTGCATATAATGACTTTAAAGGGGTTGCTTAGCAGCCGGGTATTTTTCAAATTTCGGGCAGCAATTTTCATTTTTGGCTCATCCTAGACACATTTATGCATTCCAGCACATTCTAAAGTCAGATATGAGGTCATAAATAGTGACCTCATAAAATTAAAAGGAATATACAGTAGATAAACTGTCTTAAAGTTTGACCTCATCAGAACTATTTTCAGGAGGTCAATGGTCAAATAAATGCAAAAATTTCATCAACTTTTTCAAAACTTTTCAATATTCTTGCTGAAATTTTACACACTGGATGCTGAAATAGAAAATTCTGAATATACTCTCAAGAAGGCATCAGAACTGCAATATCCATACACCATTTTAGTTCAAATATTTGTGAAATGACCTTTTAGTGGTTGCTAAGCAACAACGTTTTCAATTTTTTGAATGTATTCATTGTATGTTTGTTATCGCTCATTCTAGACACTTTTTGTGTATTCCATGATATTGTAAGTAAGATATGGGCCAAAATAATGTAAAGAACATTATTGAATTAATTTTGACCTTGACACTTCTGTTCTTAGCGGGGTCAAGGTCATATCAGTACAGAATTCTACCTTAAATTGCAAGTGTATTTCAATTTTGAATTGCTGCAATCACTATGGATATACATGTATTATCTTATAGTTGACGTAAAAAAAATTGTGAACAACAAAATCCTGAGAGAAATTTAAAAAAAAAAATGAATTAATCTTTTTTATTTTGCATAATCTTGGTTGCCATTCCAAAAATTCATCTAAAACTTGTGAACTGAAATAAAATTCATAAGATGCAATTACATGTAATTCAACCTTAGTGACACACATTAAAACTAGTGCTAATTGTAACGGGAACCATTACAGATGTTCCCCAAACGGCTCCCCAATCCCTTATGATGCCCCTACAAGCTTCATTAAAGTAGACAATACTTTTGTAATATAGATGGACACTTTATTTTTGTGGGTATTTTATTGAAAAACTATTCCGATTAATAACATTGCAGATCTGCAGCTCATGCTCTATCATCTTTGACATGTCTCCAGTTCATATCTTCAGCCATTCCTGGGGAGTTGCAAAAATCCATTTTAAAATCAGGGAAATTTGCCAAAACTTGAGAGACCAGATCTGAAGAGCTTATGCGATAGTAAGGTGTCTGTAGTCCGTACGTCTGTCTGTCTGTAGAGAAATTTTTTTTTTCCAAACACTACTCCTCCTACAGTTTTGGTCTGATTTCATTATAACTTGGCACAAAAATAGAACACACTAAGATACATAATTTAGTGCATCGGTTTTTGATTTCAATGAATAGTTTTGCCATTGTTACTAAAAATAGAAATTTCTGTGAAATTCCTTTAAAACGCTACTCCTTGTACAGTTTTAGTCTGATTTCAATATAATTTGGCACACAAGTAGACTACACTAAGATACACAATTTGATGAATTGTTTTTTGATTTAGATGAATGGTGTTGCCATGGTAATTAAAAAAGAAATTTCTGTGAAATTCCATTAAAACGCTACTCCTCCTACAGTTTTTGTCTGATTTCAATATAATTTGGCAGACAAGTAGACTACACTAAGATACATAATTTAGTGCATCAGTTTTTGATTTCATGAAACGATGTTGCCATTTATACTAAAAATAAAATTTTTTGTGAATTTCCTTTAGAACGCTACGCCTCCTTCAGTTTTGATCTGATTTCAGTTATAATTGGCACACAAGTTAACTACACTTAGATACATAATTTAGTGCATCGGTTTATGATTATGATGACTGATGTTGCCATGGTTACTAAAAATAGAAATATCTGTGAAATTACATTAAAACGCAACTCCTTCTACAGTTTTGATATGATTTCAATATAATTTGACATACAAGTAGACTACACAGAGATTCATAATTTATTGCATTGGTTTTGATTTCAGTGAATGGTGTTGCCATGGTTACTAAAAATAGAAATTTCTGTGAAATTATTTCAAAAAGCTACTCCTGCTACAGTTTTGGTCTGATTTCAATATAATTTGACATGCAAGTAAACTACACTAGGATTCATAATTTAGTGCATCCATATTTGAGTTCGATGAATTGTGTTTCCATGGTTACTAAAAATATAAAAATTTATGTGAAATTCCTTGGAAACACAATTCCTCCTAGAGTTTTAGTCTGATTTTAATATAACTTGGCACACATGTAGACTTCACTAAGATACATAATTTGATAAATTGGTTTTTGATTTTGATGAATGATTTTGCCATGGTTACTAAAAATAGAAATTTCTGTATATTTCCTTTAAAACATTACTCCTGCTTCAGTTTTGGTCTGATTTCATTCTAATTTGGCACACAATTAGACTACACTATGATACAGAATAGTGCATGTATATATCGGTTTTTGATTTCAGTGAATGGTGTTGCCATGGTTACTAAAAATAGAAATTTCTGTGAAATAATTTCAAAATGCTACTCCTCCTATTGTTTTTGTTAGATTTCAATATAGCTTG